TATATATATATATATATATATATATCTGCTACTCGATAGCGCGCTGTTCATTAGAGCTATTCGTGCACATTGATGACTGTGTCTTGTTATTTAGTGGCGTGACTGAGACGCCCATTGTACTCTATACCTTGAATAAATGTGAAATTAATTTGATATATCCAATAAAGGTTACATTATTAATATTAATTACTTTCTACATTATTATTTTTGTTATAGATTATATTTGTGGTATTACATATATCAATAGAAAGAAAATAATTCCAGGTACTTAAGGTAACATCCTCTATCAATTTTTTTACATGAATCATGTGACGTTTATAAAACTAATACTTTAAAAAATTTCGAAGAATTTAAATGCCTTTAATGAAAGTTATAATAATAATAATTACATTGATATATTAAATGTGTTAACATACATTTTTTTTCATATAACAAAAGATAAATGATACAAATATAAATTGGATTTCCACCTCTCGCTTCCACCGTCTCGGCTAATGCTAATTACTTTAGTTCTTCCATCGAAGTATATATAACGATATATTTTTTTTTTAGATTTTAACTTTTTCATCTTGCGCAACTGCTGCAACCTCCGAAAAATGGAATGTCAACATTGTTTCCTGTATTCGGTCTGCCAAGTCTACGTGGTGGAGGACGCGGCCTGTATACAATAAACAATTGTGGAAGTTACTGTCCTACATGTGTTCATCGTTTTGTACATAAATGTCTTAAGAAAATGCCGTACCCGGAACCTGGGCCTGAACGGTAATCCCTTGAGTGACTGCTCGATTGATTCATGCCGGGATTGATTAACGTTTGGAAACTATTTCCAGCATTATGCGCATAAGGGAAGAAGAAACAACGCAGCTGATTAGTGATTAAAAAAAAGTCACGATTCATCATACGGTGTGGATTGTACTTACAACATGATGATCATATAAATTATTCCGGTGAAGAATCCGAAAACTCTTCTTAATCCCCATGGAGTAGATTTCACCACGTTACCATCTACAAGCAAATTATTATGTGCAAACTCCGTTATCTCTTTCATACGTAACTATTATAGTTACAATTAGGTTACAGTATATTACCGTCCGTTACGTAGACCATATTCGAAGCAGCACGCTCGTCAGTAAGGAATGATGTAGATATAGTTTATTTTCAATTTTCCTCGATTTTTGTGACGTGTACAATCTTATACACACGATTATATTACGCGTAATTTGTCTATTCTAACCTATACGTCAGACAAGAACATGGCAAATGGCAATACAGTCACCAATGACGCTCGCGACTCGACTCGACTCTTAATCGATACATCGAGAATCGATCCCTCTAATACAAATTCGATTATTCACAGATTTTTGAAATATATCGATGGAGAAGTGCCCGCGAGCGGGATCCGATAGGGTCCCTCTATACTAAAGGCAGAGAGAAGCATACTCTATAGCTCCACACGTGCAGTCAGATGGTCAAAAAATTCAAGCTTGATATAAAATTCATTTTAATTAAAATATTTGTGCCGAGAATTACAACAATTGCACGAACATTGTTATATAATTAATTGATTGAGTGAACTTGTCAAATTACTTAATTGTTCACTGAAATTGTACATACGTTTATTTTCCGGTGAGTGTTAAAATGTGGAGCAGCATTATATAATATGTCAAATTGTTCCATTTTTAAATTAAATTTTGTTTGAATCGATGTATTGATTCTTAAATTTAAACGCGAATTTGTATCGCTATAGTACCGTATATTAATAGAGGAAAATTCCAAATTTAATCAAAATCATAATTTTATTGTGCATGCACGCTTTGTACGTGCACACAGAGAGGCGCCAACAGACAGATTTTCATTTAAAATGTGAGCACTCTTAGATTTCTTTCTGATTACATATATAATCATGGGTGTTATATCTCGCCGTCATCCTGCACAAATTTCGTCGCGTATAAATTCCAGGCGAGACACCGGCGTGTCTTTTGATATAATTACATGTACCATTTTTTAATGTAAATTTTTAAATTTACTAGAAAATATTATCTATCTATATGTTTTGATACATCATATATATATATATATATATATATGTATATATGTATGTATATATGTATGTGCATACTTTTTTCGATCTACATATATTGAAAAATTAGTAATCGCATATGTCATTGATTGCTATTTTTAACATAATATACAAGATGGCTATTAAATGTTAGTTGATAAACATTTGGCTTTAACTGTAATGTTTTTTTAAAACAATGTAAAATTAATGCAAGAACGTAGGATCAGTCGACAGAAATATCGTTAATCTCTATCTCTTTATCTTATCCACTCTTAAAAAATAAATATGTAAAGAGGGGAGAGAATGTATCCTAATTAGAACTTGAGAAGGAACTGTAAATCGTACAGCATCGTAGATTTTATGACAAGATCCTGCATTTCCTCATATGTGGAAAGTAGTTGTGCGATATTACGTATCTAAGAGAACTAGAACTGATGTCATTCTGCGTAAATGGAAAAAAAACTTCTACGTATAACAATAATTTTTCTATTCTTTAATGTTGTAGGACGGTATTGTAAAGTTTTGAATATCAAATAAAAGAATAAAAATAAAAAGAAAAAATGAGAATGAATAAAAAAAATTGTATTTAAAAAATGGTTATCCATGACACTGTGAACGAACTTTGAATAAAAAATTGTCAGTCTATTAATTTTCGGTCAGTCTAAGTAATAAAAAGATCATCAAGGCGTAAAAATAAATAAGTTACGAGAACTCATTAAAGCCATGTATTCCCTATGTTATCACTCTTAGTTTATAAACTGCGCTGCGCGCAATCTGTATTGTTTTGCTATCAAAACTACTTTCATAACCAAATTAATTTCGCCAGATAAACAATGAACCGATATATGATCTAAGAGGAACAAGATGCACAGAAATGTTATATACCAATAAAATCTACTAATATATTTAAGAAAAAAAGTAAATTTATATGCAAATAGTATCATCGTAAAAGAAATCAACTATAAAAAGACATCTTTGATGTATATTGATACATTTTAACAATTTATGATTGTTGAAAATAATTTTAAATAATTATTTTTTATTAAAATAATTTAAATTTTCGTGAAAATCAAATTCGTATTTTGTTTTTAATCTTTTTTCTCATATCTTAATTTTATCATATTATTACTGCAAGGGTATTTGTGGATATGTTAATATATATTAATTCTTGTAATTTGGTATCTGGGTATTTGGATGCTTATCAACCGTTATCATAGAGTAGAACCTAGGTAATAAAGACGAAACAAAAAAAAACTCAACTTTGTCACTATAATATCATATGCGGCAAGAGTACGCGTATTGAAGTCTTGCGGGGCGCGCTTTTCGAGAGTCAACAAGCGCATCGATCCTGTGTGAGAAAGGCCGCAGGTATATAAAATTATCAAGTCAAGTATGCTTACACGTACGCTGTATATGCATGGTAAAAAAAAACTCGTGCTCGCTTGAGATATTTCGAGTCGGCTGTTACAATCCGATCTAATTGGTTTCACTCTTATTTGGGGTTTAAGGCAATCTTGTTTGTTCGAAAGTGGCCAAGATTTCAACGTGTGATTATTTGCATTTATAATTCGATAGTGTAGAAAATATAAATGTATTCATTATAAATATTATACAGTATGAAAAAAAATATATATATATTTGTATGTATATATGCAGCTTGCGCAAAATATCCAGTATAAAAATTACTTTCTTTTTCGTAGAAAATATTTTACTTCTAGAGTGACTATCGAAATCTTGGCATAGTTTGACGCACGAGAGACAGAGAAAGATTATAATATGTAAGAGATCGCTTAGTACGTGATGTAAGAGAATATGTTTGTTCTTCGGAGATTCCGTAGAGATCTGTCCGTTTTTAAATGCAAATGCAGACGAAAATGTCAAGGAGGATACCCTTGAGAATATCCAGGTTACCCTGCGGTTTACCGTGAGCCAGAGAATCGCTGGAATTCGTGCCGTGGCTCAGGGCGTCCAGATCGTCTCTGGTTATCCATTCTATATAGCGTTCGCGCTTCTCCGCCTCGGTGGCGTTCTCCAGAGATTGCAAACCGTCCGTACAGCCTACGTGCTGCAGATTCTGTAAGTATAGTCTGCCAAGCTGGCTAATGGAATATCCGATCTCCAAGCTGTCTTTATTGCCGCTCACGGTCTCCTGCGTGGCGACGCTCGCCACGGGATCCAAAAGTCTCGATTGCACCAGTTCGACGGTATTGGCAAGGCTGTCGGATCGCAACGACGGCTCGCTCGCGCCCAAGTTACTCTGCCTTACGTTTCTCTCCGCGTGATTTGTGTTCACAAGCTTACTCGAATCTGCTGTCACACGAAACGTGCTCTCCTCGAGCTGCGCGTCCTTGGGATAACTGACGGAATTTTGAGCAACGGTAATATTCGTTTCATCGAAATTGGACCCGAGATTGGACTGGACGGGAGCACGATCGGCGGTTAGCGCGTTTGGCGTACGCTCAAAAAAATCAACGTCCTTCCGATGCCTCTGTAAAAAATACTCGCACTTCTCCTGATCGGTCTGAGGATACTGGCTGTTAATCGGACGTTCCTCCCGTTTCAGGAGGTCCTGACGTTTCTCGCGCTCCCTGGGTAAAAAATGCAGACTCCTGCCGACTCGTTGGAAGAAACTGGGCCGCTTGCGCGCTTTGCTCGCCGCCATCAGATCGACGGACTTCTTCGTCGACTTCTGCGACGAATCGAGACTCCTCTGTTTACCGTGAAAAAAGGTCTTCGGCCGCTCCTCCGGCAGAAGATCCAGGCTCTTACAGTCCGCGGCGGGTAGGTCGACGCTCCTCTCGAGCGACTCTAAGCTCCTATGCGTCTTCTCCTTGTTGCGAAAGGAGAAATTTCTGCGTTTGTTAGTGGAGGCTTCCTGCAACAACTCGCTGCTGCTTTTCTTAAAAATCTCACCCTCCTTCTCGAGGAATTCCACGTTACCCGAGTCGCGACGCGTCTCATAGGCCGTAGCGACACGTCGTGCACCGCCCACCATCGGACCCTTGAGCTTCTTGTCACCGTCATAGTCAGCGTAGTCCCTCTCTTTGTCCGGGCCACCGAAGCAATTCATCGAACCGCCCGTAGTCGCCGCGACGTCATCCCTATCGTCCGTTATCCGTTGAATGGAATTCGTACCACCTGTCCCTAGATCCTCAAACATCACGACCTCGCGATCTACGTCTTTCTCAGTTTTATGCCCATGAAAAAAATAACTCTGCTTATCGAGCTGACGGGACGCAGCGTTCGGACTTCTCTCGCGCGTTCTACTCATCACCGGCTGATAATAGTCGCGCGACGTGGTCGCGGGATTCAAATCGACGGTACAATTGGGGCCTAATTCCCGGCTACGCCCTAAATTGAGACTGGTCAGGTCTAGGGAAGCCGCCACGTCTGACGGCGGTGGCGGGGCCGCTCTACTATTCGGCGTGGTCGACTTGAATGTACTGAATTGACATGGATTTGCCGCCGCGCGTGTCGCGACGACGGCAGCAGCGACGGCCTCATTGCAGCCAGGCGCGGGCTGTTGCGAGTGTCCGACTGTCACATTGCGTTGCGTCTTTCGTTCGGCAATAGCGAAATTCTGTTGGCTTGCGCAGAATTGTTGGTAGAATTGTATTTTACCTTGAAGATCACTCTTGTCCTGATTGTCCTGGTCGCCACGAGTCTCCATCTCGCGTTTCTGCCGGATCGCTCGCAGACTAGCGTTCGGTCCAAGCGTTGGGCCTACCGTCGCTACGGACGCGTTCGGCAAACATTGCCGCGTGTAGGGTCTGAAATCGGAAGAAAACGTATAAATTTTACAAGAAACGAATAATAAATAATCGCAAAAGAATGGAATAGATACTATGCGTCGTAAAAAAAATTTAGTAGGATTTAAAAAGCTGCAATTTTTCTAGTCATTTCTAAACAAGCTGTACATTTAATAAATTTGCCTTGAATAATACTAATTTTCGAAATTTTTGAGTAAAAAAATTAAATATATTGCAGAAAAGAATTTCTGCAAAGTATATTTTATTATACTCGTGTTGCTCGAAGCCACCGTTTCTCGATTCATTGCTCCAGACGCCAAAAATAGAGCACGCTTGAGAGCAATGAAATGACCAAGCTATTTATAAACATGAAAAGGCGGTATGGTGTGAGATGCCACCACTAATGGGGCTGCCAGTTTAATGCCTAAGAATTTTTTTTAGAGAAGTGGGCGTTCTTTAACGATTAAAAAAAAAAAGAAAAAAACAAAGCCTATTAACTGACCTTGATCGATGTTCCTGATCGTTATTGGTCCCGGAAGGTAATGCCGCATTAGACGGTTGCGAGTGCATGGGTGCTTGCTGCGCGGAAGGTAACGTCGGTTGTCTCGCGTTACCAAACTTCAACATATTCCAGTCGAAGACGTAGTCGTAGGTAAAGCCCTGACCGTGGAATAGTGTTCGGAAAAGTTGTCGGAGATGCGAATAATCTGGCCTCTCCTCAAAGCGTAAGTCTCGACAGTACCTTAAATACGATGCGAACTCCACTGGAATAATTAATAAAATGATTACTTTTTATATAAGTATTATTGTATATACATATATTACAGTTATATATATATAATACAATCATAGATTTTATGGCTAATTTAGGATCAAATTTTTCTTGACAGTTGCCAAATAATTGTTGTCGATAATTTTCAAGAGTCAAACGATGGAAGAAAAAACAACTTTTACCAGTTAAATTTTGAAGAACCAAATGACTTATAAAATTATTTATTGTTTGATTAATCTCAGATAAAATTTACTTTAAGAGATTTCAATTTAAGATAGTTAATTATAGATACAAGAGAAAACACTAGAAAGTTGCAGTAAATCTCGCTCAATATTTTCACTGATGAAAATAATGCAAATGAATTTTAAATTAGCCAAAGAATCATTAAAAAAACATCCAAAGATTCTGAGATATTTTACATATATATTTTACGTGTATATAAATATATATAAAATACATGCTGTTATCTATAAGAAGACTTACCAGGATAACCTTTGCAAAGTTCTTCTACAGGAGTGGACATTTTCTTTTCGGAAATGCGTTCGTACTTTTGTCTCTTGGTTGCCGCTTTTAATCCCTGCCAAGGTAAACTACCCCTATTAAAGTACATGAGGACATAGCCCAGAGATTCAAGATCGTCTCGTCGTGACTGCTCGATCCCCAAATGCGTATTTATACTTGCGTATCTGTTGTCATAGTAAGTGAAATTAGTAATTAGAAAAATGATATTACACATAAATCGTACAACTATATGAATATAGCCAACCTAGCCGTTCCCGTCAGATTCTTGTTTTCTCGATAGGGTATGTGCTTGTGTGTGCGCCCATCGCGATATTTTTTAGCCAATCCGAAATCTATAATGTAGACGAGGTTTCCCTTCTTTCCCAGACCCATCAGAAAGTTGTCTGGCTTAATATCACGATGAATGAAGTTGCGACTGTGAATGTAATCTGTTCTACTTATCTGTAGAATAGAGAAGTTAAAGCACTGTTATTATAACTGTACACTATGTTTCATGTGCGCATGGTTCATGCTTCAAAGATCATATGCAGAGATATAAATAAATTGTTTATTCACTTTTCAGTTTTACTTGTTATTGTATGCATTGTACAATATATACAATGTATTGTACTTGCTAAATTAACATAGTATTATTCCTTTTGTAAAATATAGATATTTTTTTTCTATGTTTATAAAAGACTGCAATATTATATAAAGTAAAACTTTAATGCCTGTATCCTTTATTTATTTGTTAATTTTTAATCTACATTAATTTCAAAAACATTTAAAATACATTTATATATATATATATATATATATATAATACAAACATTATACATTAAAAGTATATATATTGTATAATTATGTATCATATATGTCTGTATATTTTATTATTTATAAACACCTTTAGAAGTATTATTAAAAATGATAATATATATAACTTTTATAACTGCATAATATAGTTGAAACAATGTCTCTCTTAAGAAGAAAATGTTTAATAAAAAAAAATATGAACAATTCTTAGTAGAAATGTGTACGATATATTTTGTTGCAAAATAAAGCAATAAATTGTTGAATAATCACAATATGAACTTTGAACGTATGGCAAAGCATTTGGCAAACACCCTGCGCATGTACATACATTAAAGGAGATCCATATAAGAAAATGAAAAAGTTATCTGTTTAGCCTTTTATCTCAGAGTGCAGCCATGGATACAACATAAAGAGAACCCTGTCTTGCAATGCATACTAATGAAATAATTACAAAACAGATTTTGAAATTCTAACAAAATAAAATGTAGTTTTTATTATCAATCAAAATATCTATTAATCATGTAATAGTGACATAAAATAATTCCTAGAAACGTGATATATTACTTTAAAAATAACATATTTTATTTTGATATTTGATATTGATTATTTTGCAAGAAATAGTCGCGGATTTGTTATTCACATGTACAATATCTAGATAAAGTAAATTTTTATAATAAAAAGATTTATTTACCAATTGATCGGCAAGGAGCAGGACTGTTTTCAAAGAAAAACGTCTCGAACAAAAATTAAATAAATCTTCTAGTGATGGTCCAAGTAACTCCATCACCATCACGTTATAGTCACCTTCCGAACCACACCATTTTATGGTTGGAATCCCAACTAAAATATTAAGAATATTAAGAATGTTATGTTGTAATAACAAAAACAATATCCTGATAAATTAGAAAAAATATATATAAATTTAAAAGATTATAATTATAGAATTATATAATTATAGAAATATAGAAAACTAATTGTATCAAGATATATCACACTCTTTTCCTTTCTTCAAAAAAGATTATGAAACTACATCATTAGTGAAAACAATAAAATAATTATAGTAAGGTATTATTTAACTAACACAATAAAAGTTGCATAATGCATGCTATTAAGATTCAATCATTTTATACATTTCAAATTATATACATAGGATAAATATTTCTTTGCGCAAATATTTTTTCTCTTTCTTTAAAAAGTGTTGTTAATTTTTACTTAAATTCACCAATTGACAACTAAATTTCAGAATAATTAATTATTTGTTTTTCTTAAAACCTCTGTATTGTACTAAACTCATGTTGTTTCTCTTGATACGCTAACGCTAGGAGGAGACGCAGTAGCAAGTAGATATCATAGATACACAGCCGCTGTGTCGTGTTGGTGTGAAAGAAAAGATATTGGATCAGCTGTCGAATAAACGGGAACGCGGATACAACAACTGCCCGTGGTATAGAATAAACATTCAGTTGATACATATAGAAATATCGATTCCACTTACCACCTCCTTGCATCATCTTGTAAAACTTGGACTCTATGTGCAGCTGCGGATGCCGTGTTTTTATGCATTCTAACTTGATAGCGACCTCCTCACCCGTAGAAATATTGGTACCTGGCGAATAAAAACGGGAGTAGATCCACAGAAGGTTCGTATTAACGCACGCATGTACGTACCCTCGGCGCACGCGGCGCAAAGTGAGGAAGAAGACAAAGGAGATGAAGGGAGAAACGGAAGACGGAAATAACGGAGAACGCGGAGGAGAAAGAAAGTGGGAATAACGTGCGAGTTGGCGCGCGGTTTCACGCTCTCCTGCGCGAAATACACGAAATCCCACTGTATACGGATGAGAGAGAGAGGGAGAGAGAGAAGGGCGGAGGGGGGTGAAGGGGGGAAGAACACAGCATCGAGTGGCGAGCTGGACGAGGAACTCGCCTCGCGCGCGGGCACGCGGCTGACGAGCGAAGTAGGAGGAGGGTAGATGGGAGGGGGGGAGAGGACGAGGAGGCACTTACCTAGGTAAATGTCGCCGAAGGAGCCGCTCCCGATTTTCCGTCCTAGCCGGTACTTGTTACCAACACGCAGCTCCATCGTACACACAAGCCCGCGCGGCGCGCACCCCGACGACAGAAGTATCACGATCGCAGTGTTACGGTAGTCGCGGCGGCGGCGGCGGCGGTGGTGGCGGTGGTGGCGGTGGTGGCGGTGGCGGCGAGTGGCGACTATGATGATGATGTTACACACACCAACAACTCGCAGCGCGCAGGGTAGACAGCAACAGCAGCAGCAGCTGACCCGACGTGAGCGTGGAGTGACGCGATGTGCTCGCTCTCTCGCTCACGACGACCCGGGGGGGAGAGAGGGGAGGGGGGAGAGGGAGAGACGACTGGCTGGCTGGCTGGGCTGGCGGCTCGGCGTTACTGGCTCGACCGCGATAATACTACCTCCATACTGCTCGTCGCGCAGGAACTCGGGCTGATCGATCTCGTACCTACGGGCATTTCCTCGCGTGGCCAGAGTCTCGCGTTGAGAGAACACAGAATAGCGCACCTCGTTGCGATGGCGGTCGCGCTGATGGCGGCGGCGCTGCGCTCGCGTCGTCGCGCTCGTCCGTCGCTCGCGCTCTCTCGCCCGTTGTTGTTGACGGCGCTGGCCGTAGCTCTGCGGCCAAGCGGAGCGGCAGCAGCGGGGGCACGCGCGCACTGGGCAAGACGGGCGCGGACCACCGCGCGACGCGACGGGCAGGAGTCGCGCGCGCACCACACACAACGGGGACGACGGCACCGGAGAAGAGGCTTGGCCCCCTACGGGGGGGGAAGGGACGGTCGACCGATCGCGGCGAGATTCCGACGAGTGTGCGAACTGCGACGTCGCGCGCGGAAACCTTGTCGACAGCGCGGCCGCGACGGCGGGACAGGGTGAAGAGAGACCGAGTCCTGGCGGCGAATCCGTCGATCCGATCGCGGGAGCGCGTGCGACGACCAATGGGGGCACGCTTCGCGCGGTAGGGCATCTGCCCGCGGCGTCCACAGGCGCGGACCGGTGACGGCGGAGAGCACGGACCGAAGACGCGCACCAATCCGCGACGGCGGTCCTCCTCGCCAACGTTACGTGAACACGCGTTCCTCTTCTCACCCCCCGCGCGCGAAGGCGGCCACTGAAGTGAGGAAGGAGAAAGAGCAGCTCCGAACTCCGAGAGGAGGAACGATTGTTGGCGCGACGAGAGCGCCCTCGTTTCGCACTACGGTCGTGCCCGGAAAGGTCGCGACACATTTATTTTTATGGGTTTCGGAACGCACTTATATATCTCGCAACTAGAGATGTAAATAAAAAAAAACTTAATTGTTCTTTTTTTATAAAATACGTTTTTTTTTAAAATAAGCTTTGTTTTTTCAACTATCTGTTTAATATTTATACTTTGCTAATATAAGTTAATTTTTCACGATTTTTTATTTTATAAATATCCGAAGCATATTTTGAAGCAAGAACTTCAATGAATAATTATAATAAATTCTATCTAGGAAAAAGCTGTTTAGAAAGAGAATTAAAAAAATTCTCATTTTGTAAAAGTTAAATATGTAGATCACATTAAAATTAATTATATAATTATATAATTACTATTTACAATTAATAAGTCGTGCTATCGGAATTAGAAAAAAAAACCAAATTTGTATTTTTCCAATGAAATAAAACACTTTTTTCTTCTAATGTTTTTTTTCTATTAGAAAAAAAAAAGTTTTTTTTTACATCTCTGATTGCAACTGCGATTACAATACCGAGTCAATCTTACGATTGGCCACTTGCGAACCAATCAGGACTCGTCATACCGGTTGCGCTTGTGACTCCGATTACATGGAAACGCGGCCAAACTCCAAATAACTCGAGAAAAAGTCAATCATCGCGCTCATGCTGTGAGCAGCAGCAGCTGTGTGATCCAACAAAAACATCGCAGCTGCGACTCGCCGCGGTTTGCAGCTCGATCGCTTTTATTTACTCGAAAATACATATGGAAGTGCGCGAGTGATCTTTTATCGTCGATAAATTCCACATCACGTGTGAAACATGTCGCGGCATCGAGACGTCCGTTCCATGAATTACTCGGAAGGTACTTACAGCATGTGCTTCGTGAATCGCTTCGTCCTGCTTGAGATTCCTTTAATCCTCACAAAGGATCTCGAAAATTTAATTTTTCAAGACAATTTTCAAGACAATTTTTCCGACAAATTCCGATTAGAACGCTCGCTCCTCTTTGTTATTATTGTCTTGTTTGTAAAGATTTATGGTGAACGACATACTGTGGTCTCAACCGTGCTCTTAGCTTTAGCTCTTGATTAATTATATCTGTCTATATGTATTATGTTTTCTGACGCGTCGCGTATAAAAGTAACATATTCTTTTATTTTTGTACAGAGTACGATGGCTACGATGACGTTTATGGGCATTCAATGGAGGACGATTATTGCGTGTCACCCAGTGGTATGTATTTCACAGACTTCTTTCCTATTTCTAATGTATTACGATCGTTTGGTAATTACAAACACATGACATGTACAGTGGAGCAGTTTTTATTCGATCGGAGCAAACAACAGAATATCGCTTCATTTATCACGGAGCCGGACATAGTGGAGGACAATGAGGACGTCGACGAGTCTCCGCCGTCGTCCAACGAAGAGAAGAAATATAACCTTTCCGAGTTGGAAAGGGCAAAGTTGATATCTTGTTTGGAAACAATTAGGAACGTTATAGGCGACACGGTGTCTGACTCCAAATTGAGGGAGAAGATTGTCCTGTCGAATTTCGATGCAAACGTAGCACTCGACGCTATTTTGAAGGAGTCTTCGCCGAAACAAGCCGTTGGTACGCTTAATCTATCGTAATGGATATCATTGAAGTATTAGAACATTGAAATAAAATCTCGAAATACATTTACAGACTCCGCAAAGAATAAGAAACAATTGGAACGGCATCCAGGTACATGTTGCATAATATTTCACTTTATATGTCTCCAGTATTATATTGAAACAATATGTTGTATCTGGAATTACTTAATGACCTCGCTTTTCTCTCTTTTTTTTTCATGTTCCTTATACTTGGACTTCATCGGTAAGGTAAGGTGTTTCAGTTGACAAATCCAATACACCCACACACGTGTTCACAATACCTAGATTTTCATTTAAGAAACAAGAGAATTTATCTAAAGATTCTAGTTGTCAATTGAATAACGTAGACAGCTCGAAAGATGTAAATCATTCTCTCAAAACTGTCTCGTCATTAGCCGAGCTTGTTTCCCGTCACGCGGGATCCGTAAATTCGGATACAACAAAAATGTCTTCGCAAAATGACACGAATACGCAACCTTTCAGCTCCTTGGCTGCCTTAACTGCGGATTATTTGCAAAAATCTAACGTAGCCGATAGGGTAGAATCTCGAGATAGACACCAATCGTCAGTCTCGCAATTTATTATTCCAAAATTATCGATTAAGGAAATGGATAGTGAGGAAACTAAGAATTTACCAAAGCTCCACAACAATGAAAATAGTAAAAGACAGGTAGTATTTGCTAATAGTTCAGGCAGACGTGAAGTCGATTCACTTCAGAAAGATTTTGCGAATATGGATATCTTCCCAGAAAACAATATTAACGTAACAGATATTAAGTCGAGAGAACAAATTATAAATCCAATAAGTATTGCAAATGAAATTTGCACTCCATCACCTAGATCTATCCATGACGATTTGATGGATGCAAATGAAATTTGCATTCCATCACCTAGATCTGTCCATGACGATTGGATAGATCTGAGTACCGCTTTGAAGGAAGCAGAATTCCTAACTGACAGCACTTTTTGCAACGTTAATTTGACTACTTCGAGAAAATTGTATCATGACATGCACAATTTAGAGATAAGCCTTGAGGATGACAATAGGGTAACGCCTAACATGCTACCAGTCACTCTAAATTTACGTGCCTTGAGACGAGTTAAACTTCCGCATACAAAAAATAACGTTTCGGTATTTGGGAAAACTTTGTGTAAAAAGTGGAGGACAAAGAGACCGGTTCTTAGAGATGTCGTACAGCATTACAACACAGTTAAACCCTTCGATTTTTCTACCCCGTATCGAAATCGATCTTAACAATAAGATATATCTAAGACTAGATAGATGATGCAGGATGCTAAATGTGTAACATATGTATATTTAGTCAAAATTTTTTTGAAAAATATGTGAAAGAAATATAATAGGGATAATAATATTTTAATTACATACTTTTAAATCTTTACCAGTATGACTGTCTTTTATTAGCTTGTATTTACTAGAGAGTTTTGAGGGAGATACCGAAATGTTTTTAAATAAACGATATAATGTATCATTCTGTACATTCTATATATATCATACTATACATACTACATACGAATATACATGTATCATACACACATACATACATACAAAGTGTCTTAAATCTATCGTATCATCTGCTAATTGTAGATTCTTAGAAATTTTTTAGAGATGAAAATTCTGATACCATAATGTTGAGACTACAATAGTTTTCAAATAGAAAGCGTTTAAAGATAGAGTCAATTGGATTGTTTAAAATTTGCGCATTCAGATTCATAAAAACTCAACGTGCCCTTTGACACATATTGATGTTTAAATATTCTTTTTCATTTACTTTTAAATTTATATTTTCGTAACTTTTCTTATTTATTTAATTAACTGGCTGTGCATGCTAAAATTAAGATTGTAGTCTCAACTCTTTTTGGTATTAGAATTTTCATCTCTAAATTGCTTTAAGAAGAATGGCTAGCAGATGATACGGTAGGTATGGGACGCTATACATGTATATATATATATATATATATACATATATATATTTGTCGCATCTCCGTAATCTTAATTTACATCTATATCTATTTAAAAGATTTAACAAACGCTTAAAAAAAGAATTATTTAACAATACAATATTTCCGATACAATATTTCAGTCATCTGTAAACTTATTGGTTTCAACGAATCAGAACAATGATACTCGAAAATCAATAATTTTGCTGACATATTTGCAGGACATACAGTTGTCTCTTCTTTTTCATTTTTTATTTATACTGAAGAATTCCTGTAAGATCTATATATAAATAGTGCAGGTTTCTAATAATCACGTCTAGTAATGACAAAATTCAATAATTATTTATCTTCTTGAAAGATTTTGCATTTTTTAAATTTTAGCACCATTTTGTTTAAACGTTACACAAAGAAATTGCGATATCTTAAGAATAATTTAATTTGTACTGTCAAATGTACTTCTATTCCTAGTTAGAAGTTGCATTGACAAATTTCACTTTTCTTCAACGCTGAATTTACATAAGTCACACATAGTTATAGCATTCTGTTAAATTATTACTAATTTTCGAGATGTCATTATTATATTATTGTTATTATAATCGCTATTTGTAGTTCGCAAAAGGGGCACAGGGATGTTTCATTCATCCAATTTGCTTCAATTCGTGCTGTTGCGCGCTCTCACTTTGACCCAGAGGCCACCTTGCGCTCTCACCGTCATTCGAAATTTGGCTATCACTTTCTCCTTGCCGAGGATCGGCTCTAATTGGCATTTCCTCAGAATAGCACTGATGACCGATTTTATCTCGAGCGTGGCGAATTTGTATCCTGAAAAGATATAAAAGAGTGAGGGATACGGTATCTTCCGTAGAAAAGAATCGACAAATTTGTCTTATGATATTGAAAGAATTAATTTTTAATTTTCTTTAAAAACGTAAACGAATCTTTATGTTTTGTGCTCTTCTTTCTTCTGTATCTTACTGATTTATATTTCTCTCACCGATGCAGTTGCGAGGTCCGGCGCTAAATGGTATGTAGGCATACGGATGTCTTCCCTTGGAATTTTCTGGGCTGAAACGCTCCGGTTTGAAATCATGAGGATCAGGAAAATGATGGGGCAAGCGGTGCGTGCAGTACGGCGCTATAAATACGCCACAACCGGCCGGTATTACGTGTTTCCCTGCATGATACAGGATACATAAGTTAATTTTTGTTATATATTACTTTTATTACTAATTTAACGTGAATGTTTCATCTGTTATCGTATTTATAAAAAAATATCTACAAATAACATTAAAAATGTATTATCCGCACTATACGTAACAATATTAAAAATTTTTTTTTATTCTAATTAAAAAATAATTATAAGTAATTGGGTAATACAGTTATAGAATTGAAAAAAATTATGTGTAAAAGCGAATGGTATTTGCACAATCAGATCAGATGAACTAATTATCGTAGAGATTTTTTTCTATTCTAGAAAAAAGAATGTTATACCTAGTCTGACGTCCTCTCCGAGTGTTCTGCCGAGAATTGGTACGCTAGGATACAACCTCATGGATTCCTTGATACACATGTCCAGATATTTCATCTTCTTAAGATCTTCCATAGTTGGCGATCTTCTGTCATCGCTGAAAATCTCATCCAATTCCTCGACGCATCTCTCCTGCCATTTGGGATTATTCGCCAGAAGAAACAGCGTCATCGCGGTGGCGGTGCCGACCGAGTCCTGGCCGGCCAGCATAAAAGTGCAACACTCCTCGATGATGTCCCGATCGGTGAATTCGGGATTCCTCTCGTTGATCTCGACCATGTACTCAAGTAGAGACATTTTTCTAGTCGCGCTGTGATCGGCGATAAGAGAGCCGTTTTGCAGAAATTCGCGTTTCTCCTTCACTTTTTTCAAGCAAAAATCGAACAGATCCTTCTGCTGTTGCTCCTCCGATTTCCCAGCTGCTGTCAATCGGTAAATCCAGCTGATTAGCAACCACGGTCGCGCAAATCTGTATGGTATCATAAGTTGGCCCCTGTTCCCGAAAATACATCGATGTTAGTATAATTACTATAATTAATATAATTAGTTATATCCGTCGTAGTAAACATAGTTTTTTTAGAAAGGAAATGAAGAGCAAACGCATCATTCCTCGGCAGAAAAATTTAAAATGTAAAGCTCTTATATATCGATGTTTACAAAGTCATTGACGGCACAAGTTAAAAGGTTTTGAATTAGCCAAATCTCTTAATTTAATTAAGATAAATAATGCCGTATTAATAAAAAAAATAATTTATTAAGCTGGTTTCTGAAATATAGAATTTTAAATAATTCTTAAAACATGTTTTTCCACTTTTTTTTTATGTCTCGCATAGTAAAATTCCTTAATAAGATCGATTACGTTTGTAACACACTTTCTGAATGGCGTGTCGTCCTCACCGTCGTTGATTCTCTGGCTCGATGATATGCCCAGTACTGTCTCTGAAATAAGCATTATTGTGTCAGATGGCTAATATTTGGCATCGGTATATAAGTACCGCCGCCTTCGAGATGTCGAAATATATGATAATGAAAAGGGGGAGGGGGGGGGGGGGGGCTTTGAAGTGCGTGGTAGTCTCTTTAAAGGCATATTAGCGTTATATGCAAATATCAAAAATCAACAAAAGTATAGTACGCGCTGTTGTGCTTCGAAAAGTCCCGACGTGGATTCTCATGCTAATTAACGCTACCACATGCCGCACGTTTCATGAAAAGGTGAAATATTTTAACACACGCACACACCGACTGTTTGCGTAAAAGATTCGATTTTTACGAGCAAACGTCACGGCGCGGCGCGGCAGCATACCAACAATATGCTTTCATTGCGTGACGCAGTCTTCATTATTGCCTACAAGCATACATTCCGATTTGTTGTGCTATCGCATAGTTATTAACTCTTTCTTTTCTCACGTTCACGTTTTCTTTGCGTTTCATAGAACCAAACATATAAATAAATCGACAGGATTCTTTTAACCCGGTTTTGCAAGTCAAATATTCTTCTTTTTGAAAAAAACGAAAAGAGGCCGGAATATTAAAGACAGAAGCTGGATAAAAAAGAATTGATTTCGTCTAGAAAATTTGCATATTAACAACGAGCGCCAATTAACATTTCGTGTCGTCGCTCCGAGTAGTTTTTGCAGACGAGACGCAGAAGAATTTCTTATTTTTAGTTTCTATTTCGAAGTTTTTATTGTAGAGTTTTTATTTTAAAAATATTTTTACGCAAAGGACACGCGAGCGCACGATTCTTAATTTATTTCATTCATTATTAGGCGCATAACAAGTTTCAATTATGCAACGGATTCTGGACAACAACAAAATTTGCATGTCTTTCGATTTATTGCCTTATTATTCTTGCTGAAGATGGCTTTAAATTTAAGCCGAAACGTTCGAACGCATTATATTCTTCTATTAATTAATTAAAGTTATTTTTTAAAATTGTTTTATTGCGCTACGTTTACCGCGCCAATTTCCATAGCCTTTTGTTCTTTTAGTCTAGTATATTTTAATTCTTGGGAATTCTAAGTTTTATTTAATAGTTCTTATTTTTAGCTAAGCGTTTCTTCGACGGCTCTATATAAATGTACGCGAAGACGAAATTTTTAGAAAAATGAGGAGATAAGGTAGAATTTTGTTGTTTCTCGATCTACTTTCAAGTAATTTACCCTACGTACCCTTCAGTATATCGTAGACCGAATTGTTGACAAATACGGTGACATTTATATCCTCCCCGTCCTTCTGGAGTAACTTGTCGACCAGGCGATCGGCATACTCGCTGAACGTTCCGACGAATTTCTCGAGCACGTAGCGATGGAAGGCCGGTTGCAAGATTTTCCGATGCACTTTCCATTTGTCGACGTCTCGCGTAACCAGACCTTTTCCCAGAAAATTATCGAGCATCTTGTAAAAGATTATCTTCCGCGTGTGCTTCATGCTGCTAAGTACCACTTGAATGTCCTCTGGCTCGACGAGCACGACGTACGGCAGAAGCGTCAGCCATATCCGGAAGATGCTACCGTAATTCTGTGCCTCGTGTGTCATCCTGTACATCACTGAGGAAATCAAAGTCATACGTATTTACGTATACGATATACGTGTGTTACACGTTTATCGTTTTCAATAGGCTAAACTTAAAAAATTATTTTAGTTGCCAGGCCGTTGCAACTTTTGAGAACGCAAAATAGAATTCCGATATAGCTGGATAAAATACACGGCAAGAATCGATTTTAGTTACACATAGTTAATTAAGAAACATATAATCACTTTAATTAGTGACATTGAATCACTCACGATTTCCTTCGAGGAGGGCGTTCGCGTTGCCAAGAATGGGCACTGTTTTCGGTCCATCGAGGGTGAAGATAAATCTGAGGATTCTGACGTAGTTCTTCAACGCGTATATAACGTAGATAACGGCTACAAAGGCAAGGTAGGTCCACATCTCTCCTGGGATGTACGATTCAACTAATTACAAGAAATGCAATTTCCATGTCAGTGTCACGTGGATAATGAATTGCAGCGATAAAATAAGTACAGAGAATTTCTGCCTATAGTAACAATGCTATATAGTAATAGTACTCGTAATAATGCGATCAATCATTCAGTTTATTGCCGTAATGTATTTTTTGAGATGACAAGGACGTTGCAACAAAATTCCATCGTGTTCCTTAAAATAATTAAATACGGTAAAAGGATGCAAATGAGAGATAATTTGTGAATGTATCTGCTTCAACTTCCAAGCGGATATTCACGTATTTTTCAATTCTGAAATGCTTTAATCCACTATTTTTAACATGTAAAAAAACCTCTTTGAATTAATACAGTTTCCGTGTCAAATATGTTAATTACTATTGATATAAAAACGAGTTTGTTCGAGCAGAAATTGCTTAAAACCCCAAGTTTATCAGCGCTATTATATTATTTTGACTTAATCATTCAATAAACGAGAATCAAGCAAGAATGAAGAAAACGCAAAAATGTTGATAAAAGTTACAAGGTCAAAAAATAAAAATTTATTTTTATATTTGTTTAAATTTTAACGAAAGAGAAAACTTTTTCATCTCAGACTTACGCGATTATTAATCAATCATGTGATTCATGAAGGAATAATGACACAAATAGCAAGTGAGTGGGCAATAAAATTTATCTAACAATTCCTAACGATGCATTAGTAACATGTTATATTCGCGTACATCACAAATGAATATAAAATATCTACTACGAATGCAAAATAAATACTGCGAAAATAGCGAAATAAATTTGTCTCAATAGGTCATTATACAAATGTTAATGTTACAATGGAATTTTTGTTCGAGCGGAAATTACTTAAAACCTCAAGCTTATCAGCGCTATTATATTATTTTGACTTTATCATTTAATAGACGTTGCGCAAAAATGAAGAAAACGCAAAAATGTTGATAAAAATTACAAGGTCAAAAAATATAAGTTAAGTTCTTCTATTTGTTTAAATTTTAACGAAAAAAATTATAATAACATGTATTATAAATTGTATTAATTTCTGACAACATCGATGTTTAATAATACCGTTATAATATGTAATATCATGGTTATCGATAAATTAAATGTGTATATAAGAATGTACATATTATAAATGATATAAAAATACCGGAATACCTAATTTAAAATTTATAAATAATAATACAATTTTTTTTAAAACATTTTGTTTATTAAAAATAGAAAATAAGGCAGAAAATATAAAAATTGCATAAATAGTTGAAATTGGCATCCTTCGGCATTAATATACAATACAATGCGAATTAAAATAAATTGACTTACTCAAAGAACATTATGATTCCTTATTTGTATGTATTAATTCAGCTCGAATATTAACCTTTCTATACTGAACTTTTCACAGATGAAAGTTTAAAAAAAGTGAGATTCGATGATCCCGTCATCGAATGATGATAAAGATACAAATTTAGAAATTTGTGAAAATAAATATATTATTAAACTAACAATTTAGTTAGTTTTGTATGACTCATATCAGTAACACGTTTTTAAAATAATGAAAATCTAAATTTGCACAATCAAGATGCTTTCGAAAATCATGAATATTTTAATTGTAATTGTCCCTACGAAAAATTTCAAGTGTGTCAATTTCAATTTCAATTTCAGAGTATATATCGCGAAAGACAAACCAGTCGAATTTTTTATCCTTTTTTATGAGAGATTTATTTTTCCAATTTTCATAAATGTGTTTATTCTTTTTCCCCTATATATTAATAAAAATGATGAGTTTATTGTACAGAGTATATAGTGTTCAATTCATTTCTTGTTTAAAGTTTTTTACTCGTCACGAAATAATATTACGAAATAATTAGTCGAATCGACATCGATTTACATTGATAGAACCGGTCCATCGACGCCGATTTGATTAACTATTTTTAGCTGGGTAGCTATTTATCAATTACAGATTTAACAATTTCTCAACTTTGTCACCTTGTGCAGTCGCATAAAATCGCGTGATATGGCCTCGCAATGTAACATTTTGATACTACTTTGATTGCATGCATTCGATCATATGGCATCGCATCATCACGAATAGCATTGATTCGCCCGTCAAATTTCACGAGGGACGTTTTACTTCCTCACATATTAACGATTCAGAATGAGACACCTATTAATTGGCGTGATCGAATCATGCAAGTAGAGTGTGTCGCGGGCGTGTGTGTTGTTGTACGGATCGCATAATAATAAGTTTCATGACAAGGATAAACCGGGAATAGTAGCCGAAAAAGCTCGTCCAATACATATTTTAATTTATCAAAGTCTACATTTGAGCGATTAAATTATTGATTAAATATTTAGGTAACGTGAATACTGACGTTTTTAATTTAAAATTGTGAAACAACGGAAATTTCGAAATTTATTGTAGTCATTAGGATCATAAGGAATTTGTCTATTTAAAAAAAATGAATACTTTTTTATGTAAATGCGACGATTTTATCATTGTTAAAAAAATATGTAGGGACAGAAAATTGCACTCTTTTTTCACAAACTTTTCGCCTTTCGTCTTCTTACTTATTCACCTCGCACGGAGGAAAGTTTATATTCAAGTCATTTTTCGAAAAGGTATTGCTATACTATTGCTACTTACGGTTTGTAGAAAGTTCTTATAGAACACGATGCTTTAAATTCGATGCACATGTGCGCGCGTAAATCAATATATGTGTTTATAAGTGAAAGTTATCAATATGACATCAGTCAACTGACTCACGTCAATTCTTATAGAGTGTCTGCGTATTTATAAGATCGCGAAAATGCACTTCTCTCCCCACCGAAAAAACGTAAAGTCTACAACCAATGGTCGTTTCGCCCCATGCGCTGTATTTCTTTTTCAGCGTGTATTTATGGCGCTGATATTTAAAGTTTTTTTCAAGTTGACACACACACACACACACACACCCCCACCCACCCACCCACACACATACACCACCCACCCACTCACACACACACCCCACCCACTCTCACACACACACACACACACACACACATTCTTTTTTCTCTCTCTCTCTTTTTTGTCTTTTCCTTACTCTCGCTCTTTTTCTCTTCCTTCTTATAGATGTTAATTCTTTCGAGAAATCGAGAAGCATTAAAATCGACAAACTCTCTCATAAAAGATGTTATGACGATTTACTGTTTATTCTTCTTTATTCTTCTATTTATTTGAAAAAGTGACTTAAAAGTCGACAAGTATCCATATCCATCGCTCTGACAATTTATGCTTATTTCTTAAATTTTTCTTATTTGTTTATATAAGCTCGTACGTTGTATACGACGTACATTTAATTCACACGATAGACGATACGCGATGAAGCTATAGACTTCTCTTTGCGCGACGGTTTTTATGGCTTTATTCACTGCTAGCCCGACTTCTGTGCTTCAGCAATGATGAAATCGCAGAATTATTGTCATAATGAAATATCGCGACATCGCGACCGTCCTTGATCAATTCGAGAAGAAAGAATTCTACGCAGTATGCAAAAACAATGCGTGCTTAGAATCGAATTTCTTTTCGGTTCGGTAAAGCGTACGTGCCATTCGTCAATTTCTGTCAATTATCAACGCGACTGCCCAAAAATAGCTCGCCTGCCCAAGGAGAATAGAAAAATATGGAAAATGATGTTAAAATTTGTTATCAAAATGACGTTAAATTACAGAAATATTTTATATTTTCTTTTTTGACTTCCAGTTATAATATAAGTACATTGTTTTTTAATCTCTAATTGTAATGAATTAATTTTTAAAATAAGTATAAGGAAATTATTTTAGTGTGAGAAGCTTCTAATAGCGTAAATAATTATCTAAAAATATTATTATTGTATTAAATCGTTAATTATTATAATTATATTAAAGAAAAAATAAATATTTGCCATATATAGTGCATCCAAGAAACGTACACCACATTTTTTTTAAATCGAAAAGATTGGCATATTAAAAAAAATGTCAATATAAATTGTTATTTTTAAGTCATTTGAGATCGAGATTTCAAGCATGACGTGTTAAAAAAATGAGGTAAATTTGGTCAATATGACGTCAAATTGTTATTATTTTGACTTTTCTATTCTCCTTGGGTGGCGCAGTGCGTGGTACCTTCACCTTCTGAAGCAGCCCCGTAAAACCGTCATAGTCCCTCCGCGGGACCGATCACCGCCGTTGTCAGAATAAGACACTCGCACAGCGAGAGATCTATATTCACGGTTGAAAACGATCAAACTAAACCTTGTCGCTTGCTCGCCGGTAGTTTATATGGTCCCGGCTAGACGGGAGATCGGGGGCTGTGTCTCATATAACTGAAGCTCGTACAGTCCATCTCGCCGCTAAAATCGGCAATTAACGCCCCGATCACGTATCGCGTTTGTGATGCGCGCGTGCAGGCGTGTCTCGGCGCGAGCGGCCCGGGTGTCCCGGGTCGGCCTCCAGGAGGGCGAAGCGAGAGACGAGCTGAGCGAGAGGTGAGCTAAGGCGTCTCGTATCTAGGCGAGACGTATAGGAAGATGCGGCGGAAAACTCAAGGAAACGACCTCAAGGAGAAACGATCGTTGATCGCTTCCCGCACAAATTGCGCGCGCGATGCATAATTCAATCTGATCGCGGGCCCGCGCGCGCACTTCATTTTTTGGCGCGGTGTTTCCCGCCTTATCTCGCATAAAGGCGCGTTCGGGAAGCACGTGCGCGCTGTTAGCGTTATCGCGCCATTTTTTATCTTTATCATTAATTAGATGTAAAACAAGGACGCGAGTGACGCGATAGGATTATTGCGTAAAAATAGTGCTGACAGCGGCGCGTTTCCCGGAACGTGCCAAAGCGACGTTTCTACAATGAGACTTTAAGACTTAAGATTTAAGGAAATCGACCAATTGCATCGATTATTATATTCTTCTCACGTGAGATAAATAATCGATCGACTATGATTTTAATTTTCTTAAATCTTAAGTCTTATAAGTCTCATATATTGTAGACGCCGCTTTAATTAAGATATCGATTGACGTCCAACTTTCCGGGTCCGTCGATGTGTGCGATTCGTACGTGTGGGCGTCTGCGAGCATTCGTTTTTCGAAATCGATGCAAGTGCATGTCGAAAACGAAAGATTGTCGAATGAAAGATGCACGTTGGAATGACTGAGCTTCTCATCGATAACTAATAATTTTTTGATATCTTGACGTGGAGATAGAAAAAAAAATCAAGAAACACATTTTATTTTAAATTAATTCGCGCGTAGTAATTATTTTTAAATGACAAGCGCGAAGTTTCAGTTGTTGAAAGTGCATTGAAGCAGCTGAGAGCAGTAGCAGAAATATATTTTTACTAATAATCGAAATCAGCATCAGCATAGCTGTTTTCTTTCTCAAAAGCGATGATTATTGATAATCTCGAGAGTTAAGAGTTCTCGTGTTAAGAGTTTCACTCTTAAATACGCGCCTGATAAATCTGATAATGATCTTTATGCTTACTCGTGAGTTTGGCAAAAAAATCTTTTTCTCGTATCTTGTAAATTATAATTATATTCGGAAGCGCGCGCCTTTTGTTGTCTTATGGTAAAAGAAGATTGAATGATAAGCTAGAGATCGATAATATATCATACGGACTGCATATATTATTATATTCAGTACGTCCATACATTGACCGAGTATTGATAATAGACGATAACTTTATGATAACCGTTGATACGGTAGAAACGGAGTGACAAACCGATCCGCAGGCGTCCTCTGCCATTCGAATAACGAAACTCGTAGCGGTCGACGCCTGTCACGTTCTCCCGCGGTATGCGCGCGCGCTTTGGCGCGACTCGCGCGGCTTTTACGGGCAAAATTGAACGTGTCGCTCCGAGCAAAATACATAAGGCGACGACGTATAATCCAGCGCGGCTGACGTTTCGCCCAGGAGAAAAGCCCGGTGTGCGACTATAAATCGCGGCTGATAATCGGATTTTTGCCGCGATTATTCGTTATCTCAATTTTTCTCAATATTATTGTCGGTCGATTTTCGCCGCCCGGCCGACGTTCGCGGCGAGCACCACGCTCCGAATTTCGAGATAGAATCGAGAGTACGTGTACGCTCGTTTGATACTTGAATGAACATATACGCACGAGAGCTGCGTTGGACCGCCGCGGCCGCGGCGCCGGTCGCTCTCTCGCGAGGGAGGGATGTGGAGGCCGTCGCATCCTCGTGCTCCGCACACGCTCCGCACGGCGCGGCGCGGCGATGGCTATCAGTCGGCCGTGAGCCGTCAAGCGAGCCTGAGCGTTCGTGACTGGCGGTGGCTTAGCGCCCTCGAGAGGCGATCGATTCCGCGCGGAGCTGCGCTCTCTCGCACGTCGCTTCTCTCTCCCCCCCCCTNTCTCTCTGTTTCTCTCGTCTCGTTCGAG